TCCTTCATGCTTGGAAGGGGAAGATAAAGTTAACCGATAGATGTCAGTAAATCCTACATACTGGACCTTTAATCCACTAGCCAGGGGTTTATGAAACATTTTTTGGGTAATATTCAAGTGAAAACAATGACTGTTGCTTCAAACCTTTAGCAACTTCACTCCTGTCCAATTGTTCCATTACATGTGCTAATTATTAGTTTGATTACAGCAAGACTAATAAATTGGATATGACCCATATACTAGTATTGACTGGAAATAGACAACTTTTTTGCTTTAACTTATTATGAAGTAAATGTTGCTTTCCACAGTGTAAAGGTTATAGAATATTGTTTAGATTGGTTCTTTCACTTCACAATTCTGTGTGTGCCCCCGGGCACGATATTTCCCAGGAAAATAAACATTCGATTTATGAGACTCAGTATAGATTAAATAAATGAACAAAGTCAAGCTCTTTCTCCTGATGTTTTGTTAATGTTACTCCTACCTCCACCCTGATGCCAACCCCTACCATAGTTACTTGTTTCTCCAAAGCAATAACGTTACAATAACTGTCATTACCATGCAATCCACATCTTAATAGCTTTTTAAATGCTCCCAAGTTTCAATTTACCTTTTCAGTAAACATGCTTCTTTCTTCTCTCTTATTTCCAAAGTGGTCTTGATTATTTCTTTTAAAAGTTGCCTGTTTCCACTTTATGGATATAACATATCGACGAAGTGTCAGTGCATAAGTTGCCACTAACAAGAGTACAGAAATAAATGTATTTTCGGTCATTTACAAAGTTTCTCCTTTACATAGTTTGTCCACCCTAGAGCACTGGTGACTTTATTTTTTAATTACAAAATGTTCTGCTCAGTACATATTATGGTTACAGTTATGAGAAGAAAAGTATATATATATAATATATTTGGTTATATGTATTGGCCTCAAAAGTCCAGTATCACTCATGCTATGATTTGAATCACCTACTGTATGTTGCAACAACATTTTGTCCGCAGCTGTCAATCACTAAGCAGATACTGTTCTTTAGGTATTATATACAGCAGTGTAGTGGCATGCATATGATGCCATTGCACTCACCCATACTGACATTGTGTATGCCCTCTGAGACAGTTATGAAGGACATTATAAAAAAACTTAAAAGGACATCAGTGATTGATGAAGTTATTATTAAAAAGCTATTCTTTTAGCTGCTGTTCTTTAATTTCGATCAATAACACAGGTGAAAGTAATAATACTCTCTTTCTCTGTCATCCATTTTCTCTCCGTCAGATACCCCTGTCAAAATCACACTAGGACTTCCCATTGTTTAAGGAAAAACCAATGAATAAAATATAAGTGAAAATTGTATTTTTCATATGAATAATGTAAAAGAGGGCATGCTGTTGGCGTCCACGTCTCAAGGTTAGACTATATTGTTAGTTTCCCCGCGTGGTCCAGGCTTTGTTCTTGTTTGGTACGAAATGAGAGGATCCAATTCTATCAAGTTTTCTGTTCTGAGGGACACTTTGCCTCCTCTGCTGGGTATATGTTATTTCAGGAACTTGAAAGACAAACTCCAGACCCAGCATGAGGTATGTAGTGTCAAGGCAGTGCCATATGGTATGACTTGGAGAGCATGCCAGAACTTTTCACCACAGCCTGCTTCCTTCACTCTGTCCCAATCAACTGCTTCCAACCAGGAGGTAAACTGAAAGAAATGAAGAAAGGACCGACGGAATATTGGGATAGATTTATATTCTTAAGCGATTGAGGATGACACTTAACTGATGACTTCATGCCAAAACTGTTCTCCAAGGGAATTTTAGCTTGATGTGTGACTTGTAATCAAAATCCAAACCATTAAATCTAAAGGTTTACATTCATCAATTGTTCATTCTTTGATAGGCCAATAATCTCTCCAATGAGCAGCAGGTAGGTCTGAGTGAGCTGTGTTGGACGGTCATGCAATTTATTTTTATGAACAGAATCCAGCAGGGAAAACAAGGAGTGGAACGCAGATTTACACAGGACTACAACCACTGTATGATACATGCATAGTGGGGAAAAAAATCTGTGAGCCTGTTAGAATTTTCTGGGCTTCTGTATTGATTGTCTGCTCCTTATTTATAGCATACAGACAAATAAAGTAATCAATCATGGTACATTTGGGCTACAGTATATTCCATTACAAAGGGGGCATCTTCTCTTTCCCGCATTCCTCTAAAGGAAACAAAACCTTTCGCTATACGCCTCGTTCCGAACTGACATTTTTATGTTTTGTTGATTTATATTTGTCTGAGCCATAATCTAAAACTTTGAATGAGTCACAGTAAACTTTTGGAGTGACTGACGTTACTCTCCTCAGCTAGATATTTGTGAGGAGTTTATGTGCTTTTGCAAGTATTTTTATCTCACTGACTTAATCTATTTTATTATTATCATAAGCTTGTTACACATTTGTTCATCATGTGTTCATGTGAAATTAATTGTATTAATTTGTACTGTAAAGTATTATGAAATTTACCATTATGCTCTCTGGCCGCTTGAGAGTAAATGCCTGTTATTACACATTTTTACTGTATAAGTTGGATATTGCCGCTGCCTGTATGTACAATTAGTTTTGGTCTGTGGCTAGACCATCTCATTTTGAGAGGAGTTGGAAGCTCAGCTGAGATCTTCAGATCTTCAGATCTTCTGAGACACCAACCTTTGTGGAGCCAATCTTTTAGAGGATCCAGCCTCTGAATTGGGACACAGCTATTTGGACATTCGGCTTTCATCAGTTTTTGATGTACTTTGTTAACATCAGTTCAGTCAGACACGTCAAGCATCTGCTTGATTGTTGTGGTGGTTGTACTGCTCTTTATAGAAACTTCACACAATCCAAACCAAAGCGCTTCTCATTTGAGATGTAGCTCAGTGAGCGTTCTGACTACTCTCAGATGAACAGTGATAAAATATCTTCATAGAAGAAAAATATGCTACAACTTAATGTAGATGCATGCAACGTATGTTGCTGTTAGAGGCAATCAAGGTGCTCTCACTTCCCTGAAAACTAGTTGAATTAGTGAGCAGTGAAGCACATAAAACCAATACTTTGAGTAAACATATTTTGCTTAGCTGAATATAAAGAATGTAGAGAAAAAACGTGACTGTGATGACTTATTGTATATGTGACAATAACCATATTTTCCATGAAGCCAGTATTATGCGTAAATAATGCAGCAGTCATTCGCATCCCTAAACCAACCACAGTCCTCTACCTGATTTACAGTGAGACAATAAGAACCCCCCCCCCCCCCCCCAAATAATTAGCAACAATGAGGGATAGACTATACCATAGGCCAAATTAGCACATATTTCGCCAATGACATCAATAGCATGAAGGCATAATGCGTCTTCAAAACAGAAACGTAATAAAAAAATCTTGGATGTTACATTATTTTTTTCAGTCAGTACCCTTGAAAATATGCATTGGTACCTGCAGAGGCAGAACTGTAGCTTGATAGAGATGCAGACAGCAAGCCCTATTAAATCCACTACAGGCAGATCTGCAGGACAGCCATTAAGACCCTGCAACAAAACCATGCCTTAAACAAACTGAATCGTTGTTAAGCAAATGTCAAAAAAGCTTAAACTGGAAGAAACAACCACCTAGCAGGGCAACGTGCTGACATTTGCCAAACACACTGACCTGAGCCAAGACATCTACTAAAAGCAAAAGCGGCAACATCTGCTAAAAGCACAAGCGGATAATAGTACCTTGGTTTCCCAGCTTCTCTGCTCTGAATGAACCCCTTGAGAAAAGTCACCACGGTCCCAAGCTGCCAACAGCACAGACAGACCTTACCTTCCACCCAGCAGGGGTAAAGGCTGAGCACTCTGGTGTAAATAATGAGGGTAACCAATGAAGACTGCCAGGTTACAAAGGCCACACTGCCCACCTGTGTGAATGATAGGATGTTACTTGAACAATACATGCTTTCCAGTCGCCCAACTCATTTTAGGTATACAGTGCTTTTAGGTTCTTTAATGGAAGAATGTTGAAAATACAAACTCACCAGAGGGGAAGTGAACTTCTCAGCAATCTAACAGGAGAGAAAAAAAGTCAATGTCAGCCACATAAAGCAAAACTTGTCAGAGTCAATAGACCTTCTGACAGCAGACATTTTTCTTTTCATAGCAGGAAAAGCATTTGTGAAATGAATTTAGTTAATGATGGCTCAATTCCTTTAAGTATCCCAGGAAGCCATACCAATGAGCCAGCAGGCAAAGCAACCTAACACTGCAACCGGCCTACCTAAATGGAATGAAATCCTTGACGATATTAATTAAACCTGTGTAATCCCCACTATGACATGTCAAAATGGCTGCTGTAAAATCCAAGATGATACAGAATTTCTTTCTTGCCCATTCGCTGCTCTGCCACTGCAGGCTGGAAAGCATAACGCAACAGTCTGTGGTCCTCCAATTAGCATAACAGCTATTAGCTGTTAATATGCTGACGTTTAACATTTAAATTAGCATAATAACAAGCATTAGCCTGCATACATAGCAGACAGTTACAACATGCTAATGTGTGTAAGGTATGTGAGTAAGTTTAATGCAAGACATTTACCACAATGCTTCTAATTATCATAGGCTAACACTGATGTAGGTTAGGTGACTCTTGTTGTTTAAGTGAATCCTGTCCTATCAGTACCAAATTAGCCTGTAACATTTCCATTTCCATCACATTTTCTGTATAATAGACCTTGTTGAAATAGCATTGTAAACCCAGGTGATACCAATGATACTAATTAAGGTTCAGTTACATTCAGGTCAGTACTATTCAGTGTTCAGCATTGCATTATAAAGTTATTTCCCCACAATTGTTTCCCCAAATTTCCACAAAGTCTGGTATAGGCTACTGCGACATAAAGTATTATGTATGGAACCTCATTTTTAAAATCTCATTTGTATCATAAAGTATAACGTACTCATACTTGTACTGCCCCTTTAATGAAGAACCCGCCCACTAAGCACGGGACACAACAAGGAAGTTTAAATGTAACGTTTCGATAAACCAAAGTGAAGCTTTTCTCTACAGCGACCTTTCCTTTATTATATTAGCGGTGACAACCTGCTCGGTTCGGCGGTCCGCGGGAATATTTGGCGTTAAAAACAGTAATGAATATGATATAACGACTAGCAGTCCTCTGTGTGGCGTTGTGATGTTCATGCAACGTTTTGTTTGGACAAAATGTTTGTGTCGCTGCTGATTTCTACCTGTTTAGCCTTACTGTTTGCTCTTGGACATACATCGCTACCTCTCGTTATCAATACGTGGCCATTCAAGAATGCGACTGCTGCAGGTAGGACATACAGTACGGGACTGTGTGCTGGTTGTACACTTTCACTGTGTCTGGAGTTCAATCGTGTGACACAGTGCCCAAAATCTGCACACTAATGGGTTATGGCGCCCAAAAAGCAGAAGGGTTTAACTTATACATAGGCATTAGTAACAGTACCACAATGTGGAATATCCTCCACTACAAGAATAAGTTTAGAAGCGTCCATTAGTATTATCATTAAAGTTTAGTCCTAGTTGGAGTATCAAAAGTAAAAGAATTCCGTGGTCCCTGTCAGTCTTTCACTATTATATCTGATGCTTTTAGATTAATATCACTTCTGTGGATGTATACGGTGGAGCTAATTTTAACCTCTCAATATGCTGTTGGGTGTTTCATTTATATTGTTGTTTATGTAAAAGTCAACTTTTAATGAGTTCAGAAAAACAGCCCTGTTTTTTTTTTTAGCTTTCTGACATTTTCCAGCTATTTTTTGGTTGGTTTTATTGGTTTAGGAAGTTGGATCATTTTCTCGACACTTCATCTTTCAGTTTATCAGAAACATTCAAAATCAACACATTTGGGAATACAGGGTTTTCAGTGGACAGGAAGGGTATAAAACATTTCTGAAAAGTAACTAAAGCTCAGATAAATGTAGTGGAGTAAAAAGTTTGACAGATATTTGCCTCGGAAATGTAGTGAGGCAGAAGTATAAAGTTGCATGAAATGGAAATACCTCAAATTTGGGCTTGAGTACAGTATTTGATAATATATATTTGGTAATATTCTACCACTGCCCCAAAATAAATATTTGCTTACACTGGTTATTTATGTATTTTTAATGTTTTGAACACTGTGTGTACTTCCTCTTCTTCTTTGAAAATGAAAACAGTAGTCAGGTCACCTGTTTAATTGCCGTATTGGTGTGCCTCTGCACAATGGTATCTTGTCTGTTTAATGGTCTCAGAAGTATTCTGTAAGGAGGTATCAGAATAAAGTCTTTCTTCTTTCTCACAGCGCTCGTTATTGAGCCTCCCAGTCGAGCAACAAATACGTCGTTCACATCATTTTATATGCATGTAAACATACCCAGCAGTTATTTTAAGCTTTGAGAGAATAGGTTGGATATTATCTGCCCTCCTCTCAACAGTCTGATGTGACTTGTCATTCCAGCATATCGTCTGATACGTGTCTGCTTTCAGTTCTCAAAGAACAACTACATGTCTAATGGTCTTGTTCGTTGCAGAGCAGCAGTTGTAGTTTTATAAATGACTTTAGTAGCAAGCACGTCGTGGCTGTGCACACACACTGTCATTAGATGACTCATCATGCAGCTAACTACGGCAACTCGGTTGGCCACTGATGACCTGTGGTGGCAAAAAACAAACACTAATTAACTAAGGTAATTAAACAGTAGAAAAGTGAAGTGCATAAATGCCACTGATGTTTTTCTGTATTTATGGTTCTTTTGCTTAATTTCATTTAATTGCTGATAGAATTCTAAAAATGTTAAGAGCAGAAACAACAAACAATAATATGGCAGCTATTCTCTGGTGTCTCTGCTGTCATATGTCTCTGTCATTTGTTATGAAACATCTTTGGGTTTATGGACTGTCAGTCAAACAAAAAACATTTAAGACATCTCCTCGGGCTTTTGGAAATTGCAAAGGGGATTTTTCACTGTTTTCTGATACTTCATAGGCCGAACAATTAATCAATGAATGATTGATCAGCAGATGAATGATAAAGAAAGTCATTTTAGTTGCAGTTTACTTTGTCTGATTTTGTCATATATTTAAGACTTAAATGTTGAGCCCCATGACCAATTTTCCATCATGAAAGGAGACAGAGAGCGAGTGTGTGTGTGTGTGTGTGTGTGTGAGTGAGTTTATGTGTGGTGAAGTGCAATTCCTGGCAGGCTCCATAACCCGTATTTCCAGTATTTCCCCCTCAGACTATTATAAAGTGATTCTTTTTTTTTTCCTTCTTGCTATATACTTGTGACTTCACTACAGCTTAACCGCACAACTGTGTAAGATCAGAGACGTAGATGGGGAGAGGAAATGGGCAGAACCCACCATGACTTAATAACTGCCATTGCCAGGTCTGCCTCCACTCTATTTGATTTCCTTCAGGATGATACATTGGACATGTTCAAATTGAAACTGAAAATATTTCAGCGTTGCCTGTGACTTATCTGTCAAGTGGATTTCCAACCAGGTGCACAGCTAACATGAAAAAAAAGAGAGAAGAAGATAGAACTGGTGTTCAAAACATCTCAAGCGACGCATCAAACCTGTAGGTGATTCAAGTTAACTTAAAAATCTCAACATTTGATTGATGCATACCCTTTTAATTTACCCGATGTACCGCCCTTCTTTTCCCCCAGGTGGGTATGAAAATGAAAAACGTACCCAGCTATCTGTTTTGCTGCTAAGATATTTAAAAGTGTAGTCTGTGAGCCACTGCTATTGATCCGCCCATGCAGATCTCTTTTCCTTTGGGGGCTTACAGAAGCATCTGACAATAGCAGGCTAATCTCCTCTTCCATTCTGCTGCATTTCCTAAGTGAAAAAGATTGTAATGCTGAGTTTGATTTATAAAAAAAAGAATTATATCCAGAGACAAGAGCACTTACCAAAAACGGCACATGGACAGGATGTTTTAGATGGATAAATCATAAATGATAAGAGGAGGAATTTGTGGTAGTATCCCGCTGAACACTGCAATGGTCTGAGAATTTAGTGGCAAGCTGGTGACAGTGCTACCAGTTGGTATTTTGATCCCCCATGGGCACTTGGGGGGATAAGTGACCAAATGCTTGTAAGCTTACATTTCCCGGTTTATTAGGAATCCATCGTACTGGTCATCTTGCGCATCATCTGAAATTTTAACTCATCTGCCCAGATATTTGGACTAGGAAAATAGATTCATTTATTTACCCTACATATTTAACTCTATTTAAAGCCACAATCTCCAATAAAGCACAGGTGAGTTCAGGGATCTTTGCTGTTCAGCAAGAATGACTACCTTTTTTAACCCTACTTTGATAGATTTATTGGATGTTACACTCAACCCAAGCAAAAATGTGTTCTGTGGTATCAGATAATTTTACAGTAGCTGTCAAAGTTATAAAGCAGGACGTTAAATTGTGTTTAGTTCTCCCAGTTGTGAGAGTCAAACGGTGACCGTAACCTGCTTTTCCCCAGGTGGAGGTGAAAATCCACAGTAATATCGTTTGACTGGTGGGAGGGGGTGTACTTACCATGCCAGGTACAACGTCTGTGATGTAGTATATACTGAATGTTTCACTGTGTTCTGCTTCACACTGTAGCATGGAGTACCCTGCAGTCCGGTGGATCAGTGTTGGATGCAGTGGAGAGTGGCTGTGCCCGTTGTGAAATGGAGCAGTGTGATGGCAGTGTAGGCTATGGCGGGAGCCCAGATGAGTCTGGAGAGACCACGCTGGATGCCATGATCATGAACGGGTAAACTATGGACCTAACTGCACTGTTACTAAAAGTAAAAATAGGAAAGGGCAATAAAAATACTTGAAACGCAGCATAATGAAGCAGTAAAGATCCAGCAATGTTCTCGTTCTGAATATTCTAAAGAAATAAGTAGAAATGGGGAAAATATTTGTGACTACCTTTTAGAATCAGAAATGACCTATATTTCAGTGAAAATGACCTAGATGTTGGCCATTCCAATTAGGCACCTGCAGCTGTCAACATATTGTCTTACATTATGTGGTGGTGCTGTCTTTGCACCTTTAATGCTTGCAGCCATAGCTGGTTGACCTTTAGCCTGTGTTCTTTAATAAAGCACTAATTAAGATTCTCATTAGGATCTGAAAGATTGCCAGTTATTAAGTCCTTAAGTACAACATTTACACACTCAGAAGTTAGCGTGGGAGGCAAATGTGAGCTCATGATCATGACAACAGGCAAGCAGCAAGCTGTTAGTTATTACTCTATGGAATGTTCCTCCTTCCATTTTGCAGGGAAATTGACTTTCTTATGGTTTCACAGTCATGAATACATTGTGGGGAGAGGATATTCTCCCACACAGTATCCAATATAGCTGCATAAGAAATACTGTAGCTATCAACTGAGCACAAGAATCGAAACACCTGGACAGTTTAATGCAATCCTGTACAACATCCCTGCAAGAAATACTAGCTCTGTAAAAACTCTAAAGCATGTTCACTTCTTTATTTTGATTTTGTCTGGGAGAATTTGACTCAACTCAATCAATACCTTACATCACAAGCCACAGCCTCAAAAACTAAATACTCACAAACTCAATAACTAAAGTAAGTTTAACAGATGTAATATGTATTATATGAATGCATTTCTAATAAAATGCATTACACTGTACAGGGGTACAGGGTTTCAATTTGTTCTGTATATATTAGCTCATTCATAAATATAAAACATTGGGGACTGTAATGTCAGCCAGAATAGCATTGTATGGGTCTGATTCATTATGCTAATTAGCTAATCTCATCCACAATATGTAAGAGGCACAATAATACCTAGAAAACACACTGCTACTGAAACAAACAATGAAAAACATGACTGTTTTTATCATCTTTGCTCTGAATTGCTCCATCACCTTTGTTATGGAAACTATGTCTATCAATCTCTGGCCAGCTGTTAATGAAGGGGACATGGGGTTATGGGGGTGGGGGCAGTGTTACAGACATGCAGCTGGTGTTGGAGTTTACTAGCCACTAATACTGGTTTATAAACTAGGTCAATTACATGTGGCCTCTTTAAAGATTCCCTGTGGAGTTTCTTTTGTACAAACAACAAAACAAACCGTTATGTTCACATTCAGTGTTACCAAAACACCCAATGTGTGTGTTCAAGGTCTAACAAAGGCAACGTATTTCCTTCCTTGCAAAGCACTTTTTTCTTTTACTGGCACTTTGCTGTATCTCGGCACATTACCGCCACCTGTATATCAGTGGAATTGTGTGACCCTATTCGCAGGAATGGGCATTGCGTCACCTGTGTGCACGTAAACGGCTCCATAGCGCTTACTAGAGGTCAAAAACTCCACGGGGAACCTTTAAACATATTCTACTTGTGCCCTGTAAACCAGTAGTAATGTTTTTTCCTCTGTATTCTTTGTGACCAAGGGATACAATGGAGGTGGGTGCAGTTGCAGACCTGAGAAGAATCAAGAATGCCATTGGAGTAGCGAGAGCTGTAATGGAGCAAACTTACCATACAATGCTAGTAGGAGAGTCGGGTATGTGTGGATCAATGTCCACAAAAGTACAAGTACAAAAAAAGAATTCATGGTGTTCCTAGTGTGAAAACTCTCTGACCAATATCTAACACTTTCTCCAAGTTCCTTTTTAAATGCAGTTCTGGAAATGACTTATGTTTTATGGGGAGACCTTGATATTTGAATTTGCACTTGTCACATTAAGGCCATTTTAGGCTCTTATATAATGTGTGTTTTTTTTCCCCAAGATCGCTAACATCAACAGTTAGTGACGATAAGCTCCCAGAAAGGAAACGTATATAAGAGCGTTCTTTCGCTTTTTCACAAGAGCAGTAAATGATTTAATTTAATTTGAACGAAAACTTAAGGCAAATATTAAACTTTTTATTCCAGTGTGAGAAATCAAATACTTGTCTTAATTGAACATCATTCTTATGGGAATGTTAAGGTCACTACTACTGCAACAAGAGCCCCCCCCAATCCAAAGCCACGAGCCTAAATAAAATGAGATTGCCTCCAGTTCCTCTTTTGTTTGTGACCCTTTGTTTTCTTATAAGCCAAGGTCAGTGTGGTCCAGAGTCTGTGAGTTGACCTGAAAGTATTACTTCTCTCTTTATAGCCTCAGTGTTTGCTGAAAACATGGGCTTCGTTGCAGAAGACCTGACTACCAACAAATCTATGAACATTTTCTCACAGTGGCTGAAGGGCAACTGCCAACCTAATTATCGAAAGGTGTGTGTGTGTGTATAAGAGTGTGTATTTTTCCTTGCTGGTGTTGGCTACAGGCGTGCTGCTTCTAAAATATTGATATTAAGCAGGGGGATTGACAGGCATACTAAACTAGTTTAAAAAAAAAAGTCAGCTTTTGTGGTAGAGGTGATGCCCTACAGCGCTGTTTTCTTTTGCTGTTTTTTAAATCTAAGCTGTTCACTTCCCCAACAATGCCTCAGAATCTCCAGAATAGGATTTATTTTTTCCTTTTAAGTCATCTTTTATCATTTCAGAGACGGTATGGAGTGTCCTATTGATTGGATTTACACCATTTTGCACTTTACGCTGTCCACTACAATGAGTCCTCTACTGATGGCCACTGAGCAATTTCACTACAAAACTAAAGTGCCTTGTTCAAGGACATCTCGACAGTAGCTGAAAGAGAGACAAAGCTGATCACTCCTACCATCCGAGTTTTACTTTACTTTTACTATTGATGCTGATATTTATTATTATTAACAAATAAATTGTATTAATAATAATTATTATTTAGCAGTACAATGCATTTAACAAAATGCTATATAATAATATAGGGTTGAGCAAGTACTCTACTGAAATGAGTGTCCGACATGGATAATGTGCTTTTGATGAGCATCATCAGAGTGAAATGTGTCAATATCCGTTTTCTAATAAACAATAAATACACTTTTATGAAAAAAAAACAAAACTGTAGTGTATATAGTAGTATACAGTATAACAGTAGTTCTAAACAATTATTGTTGTGATCAAAAACATTGCTGAAGTTCAATTCTGAGGTTGTTAGTTTTCTAATAAATACAGCATCTTCTGATCAACCCATATCAACAACGTCTGGTTAGTCCAGAGTATGGATACGGATAGTATACTTGCTCATCCCTTATAAATGCTGACATAGTAAAAGACACAAAACAGAGCTGAGAGAATTATGAACATTAAATACTTCCAGAAATTGTATAATCTATTGGACAGTTTTATATTTTTTTGTAACATGTCCGATTGTTGCCGAGGTCAAAGGAGAACAACTGTACCTGAATTTTTTTATAACTAGTGAATGGTTTCAAGGGGTTTACCCTCACCTTCATGAAAGGGAATATAAGAGATTTTGCTTCATGAATAATGGACAGCCACTTTCATAAAGCAAGCTAGTTGATCCAAACTTTGGTTTATTGATGGCAAGATAGGAGCTCTGTAAAAACGCAATGCTGATACAGATACACATTCTGTATGAAAATACCTTTTGTTTCAACATAGACCTTTTGATTCAACATTTACCTTTCATGGCTCCATGTTTTATGAGTGTTCAGCTGCACTGTGAATCTGAATTTTTTTTAGCAGAACTCAGAGGAGAATGAACTTTTCACACCTCCCTGCAGGTCAAGCTGCTAAACTCAGTCAGTCATGAGAGCAGAGAAGACGCCTTGAGGTAGAGAGACAGTGAAACTTTTTGTCAAACTACACTAGACACTAGGTGCAGTAGGTTGTCTGTCTCAATAAAATATATTTGACTTCTGTACGACACATTTTGACTGCAGCAATAATTTAAACTGGGATGTTCTGTGGATATGATGGTTCAGTCACTGGAAACTAGTCTTTATAGAGATCCCAACCCAAACAAGACTCCTTACTGCTTATCATTAGGGACAATTATTGGCTGTTTTAATTCATTACATCACAGCAAATGCCTGCAATTTATAATGTGCCTTGCTTTTATGTCATTTGCATAATGCAATTATCTTTGAACTTGATTATTCCAACTGTGATATTTTCTTTCCTGTCAAAAGAATGTGTTTCCAGATCCTTCCAAGTCCTGCGGACCCTACAAGCCGGGGGCGACACTGAGACAGAACAAGAGGGCACAGCATGCTAATACGCGCTCCCACGACACCATAGGTTGGTTTTATCTGTTAATACAGAATGTGAAGTCAGCTCTCCTCAGGCACTTTTATACAGTTTAGTATTTAAGCACTTCATTGAAAGTAGACGGGGATAAGAAAGATATCTTAAAACATAGCGTGCCCAAAAGGAACGTTAGACAGCACTGAAGTAGAGGTTAGCAGGAAACAATTCAGTCTACAGGTTTTAAATTTGGGTTTCTGTCCAAAAAGATCAAACCTAAAACAAATTCTTACTTGGCCCCTTTTTAATGTAGCCTGAGCTAGACTTATGTATTGATCAAGGTGCCTGCAGCTGCTAGGAATATATTGTTATGCTCACAAAAACCTTCAACAGGAATCTCAGGGTCTTGAATTGAACTGCAAGGATACCCTTATGATGGCTGACTTTTTGATACCACTTGTTTTTGCACCAGGGATGATCGCTCTTGACCAAGATGGGCATGTGGCCGCTGGTACATCCACCAATGGACTAACTCACAAAGTCCCAGGGTATGTAGATCATGTAAATGTAGACATTTGCATTATAAAATAAGCTTTCCTTCAAGTTTTATTACTTTTTTTGTTAAAGTAAAATATGGACACTTTGTTATTAAGTAGCTCTCTCCAAAGAACAATAACTGCGTTGTACGTACTTTAGATTTATGTTCAGGGCTTTGTTTCCCCATGTAACAGTTTTGGGTTTGGTTCAAAAGGTTCCATAATGAATTACAATGCTGAACGAGATGATGCTGCAAATCTGAGTGTCACAGTGGGGGATGTGATTTTGGACACATTACAGTATCACAGTACCATGACAAATACCATAATATAGTGCAAACGACGACACAGCACGTAATGCAACTACATACACAGAACCATTTGAGAGGTTATCCTTAGAAACATTTTGGGAAAAAGGACAGGCACTATGAACCTCAATCAATCAGTAAGCCAGTCGGGGGAGAGTAGCAAAAACCTCTTTGGATTAGAATTGCGTACTCCACCTTTAAACAGTACATGTGGTGTTGGTCTATGTTTAAACCCTGATCAAATTCCTGTCCTGCAGTCGAGTTGGGGACTCTCCTATTGTTGGAGCAGGGGCCTATGCAGATAGCTCAGCTGGTGCTGCAGCTGCTACTGGAGATGGCGACGTCATGATGCGCTTTCTGCCAAGGTACCTCACCCTTTGTCCTTTTTATATAAGAAAAAAAGTCCTATTAAGTTTTACAAAATGCATTTCCTGTATTGTTACCTTGAGTCATTGGATGCTCCTCTGCATGAAAGAATGATCTCAAAGTAATCAAATAGGACATTTAAAAAGGAATGTGAAGAATCTTCACACCTACATATTTTTTTCTTATTTGTCTTAAAAAGAGAGGATTCACTGAAGTATGCAAGTAATGTGAAAGACGGTTTATTTTCCATTTTCTATTATAAAGAAACATCCATCAGAACTTCTCTAACAGCGTTGCTGAGACATGTTGACTGGATTTCAGCTCCTTCGCACACCCTCACCAGGGTTTATTTCCCGGCCACCTTGTTGAATAATAGGACTGTTACATGGTTTTTTCCTTGACAGAAGAATTGTGTTTCAGAGAATATTGACATCTGTGACACATGTAGTTTTTAAACAGCCAATTTCTGGTATGAACCTCTTGCTGCAAGTGCAACAATAGCATTAGAAAGAGTGGAGGCGTGACTACATTGCCCCAAAACTGTCATTTGTACATTCCACAGAAGAGGCAAGATTTCACTTAAGCTGCTGTTTGTTTCCAGGCTGTGCGAATGTGGCAGTCTCAGAAGGTTTTTTATTTTATTTTTTTACATATTTATTTATCCAGGATAGTTTGGCGCATACACATGCTGTTTTTTTTGTTGTTTTTTTTTAAGTTGCACTCAGCTTTACATTCACAGTCACACACAACCACACCTCAGGGTCGTCTTTTTCAATCATAGTTTTCTGAGTCACTTTCTTCAACTACTGGGGTGTTGCATTTTTCAAGAAGAACTTGCCACTAGTGGACTGTAGAATGTTTATCATTCATTCTCCATGCCCACATTTTCCCTAGCAGTTCAGGTATTTTCACTGATACATACGTGTGGTTACAAGCCTTCTGAAGGACTTCAAAGTCCAAATGTAGCAGCAATGGGCAGTTTTAAAACTACATCTGTCCTCTATGTTGGAATAGTCATAGAATTGCCAGTCTAGAAATCCTGAATCTTCCTTTTCACAAGTGTTATGGGAGGCATTTAAATATTTCAATTACTCAAACTAATTTGTTTGCCATCTTGTGTGGAAAATAACACCTAACATGGTACACTGCCTGTCAGAAGTATTCACTGAGGAATTTGACTTTGATTAATTGAGTTTCGACTTGAAAATTCCAAACTTTTACAGAAGTACATTTTAGGAAATTACATTGTGTCACTCATTTGTTTTATACATTTGACCTCAGGCTGGTGGAGTTGATGGCACACATATAGTGTCTGTGTAGAGCAAGTCATTTACATTGCTGTGATGGTAAATTACTCCCCATTTGCTGATTTTACACACTTGTGAGCACCTAGTGTCACAACTCTGTTGCATACCCCGGAGCGAGGGTGGGAATATTACATTTTCTAATCATATTTTCAGATTTATCCCACACCATAATCACAAGCACATCCCTATCATCATCCTGGTTGGTGGCCCTGACAGCACTCGTTAGCTAGCCTCATGTGTACTGCATGTAATCCTGCCAACAGTTACTTGGCCGTGGAGCTGATGAGGGCCGGGGCAGATCCCTCGGCAGCCTGCAAGACGGCCATTTCCAGAATCAAGAGGCATTACTCGGAATTCTTTGGAGCCATCATCTGTGCTAACACAACAGGCCATTATGGTGAGTGTCAAGGTTCACAACTACAGGCTGCTCTGCCACTGCCAAAGGCACACACCTGACGCACGCTCACATCTGCAGAGGTGCTGACAAGCAAATGTATATGCATAAGGGTGGTCTTATGTTGTTGTTTTCTTAATTGCATTTGCTTTCACTTTCTATAAAAGATTCAGATTCATCTAAAAATTTCCATAATAATGTTCTGAATTTTTTTTTATTTAAATGTAAAATTGATTTAAGTCAATCCAGTGTCATTTAGGCCTGGCCAGATAAAATATCTGTATTAAAATAAATCAGGTTGCTGTAATCTCAACAGTTTCCTGCTTCTTTTTAAATGGTCATTATTAGAAAATCAGAACTAAAAACATTATAATGTTGTCACGCATACTTACAGAATAGGGCTGCACAATATGGTAGAAACATCATATTGAAATTATTTTGACAGATATTGCGAGTGGGAATTATCACAAATGTCATTTTTACTGAAAAAAACCCCATATAAAATCCTGAAAATGTGACATTTGTTGGGGTCTGTACCAAACAAACAAGTTGTCTTAAATCTGGAGAACAAAGATTTGTATGCCAGGGCATCTCTTCAGAACTACAGGACTTTATTATAATACTGTTTGACACCCAGTTTTTTTTATTTTTTGGATATTGCACTTATATTGTAGTTTGAGACTTTAAAACTTGAAAAACTCTAAACTAAACTAAAAGGTTTAACCAAAAATAATCCAGTACTAATTATGTATAAACAATTTCCCCTGTATAGCCTTGCTACGGTAATACCATCAACAAAATATCTACATTTAAATTAGGCCTGATGCTGTTTAACATGGACAACATCTGCCTTTAAAAGGGTAAGTCAAAGTTGATGCAATTTTGGGATATTTGAATTTGATTTCAAAGGTTTTTCAGGAGGTCTTTTTACACAACCTGAGGAGATCAGTGTAGAACATGTACAGTGCACCCTAAAAAAGGATTGAAATTAGAAGATCAAAGATTTGGGTAAATTAAAGGTAAATTTGTCAACTTCGTTAAGACCCCAGTTTCTAAAACGCTGCATTAATAGGTCTTCTGAACTGAAGTTCTTCTGAACTGAAGTTTAACATCCAGTCAATCTGTTCAACCTAGTAATTGCTTTGTTCTCATGACAACAGTGTGGCAGCTAAAGTGCCATGCCATTTATTTTGCTTCCTCCATAAAACTCATGAAGGTGCCCTAGTTGTCACGGTGTCACATGGTGTGTACAATTAATTAGATCAGAATATAATGCAGACATTTACAGCATGTAGATAAACAGGTGTAATAAAGAGGGTTATGATCTTATTAGCATTTTAATACCAGCATTAAATGGGGCCTTAATGCGAAGGGAGTGGACATTTTCATTTACCTGTAACATTGTAATATTTTTCTCTTTGAAGGTGCTGCCTGTAACAAAGTCCCTGGCTTCTCCCAGTTCCACTACATGGTGTCAAACTCCGAGTCAGACACACCTCTACTAAAATCTGTTGACTGCTTTTAAATGGTGTATGATTGTGTGCATCTCTTTTATATACATAAATAACAGTCTCCATACAGTATTTTTAGGCTGATGATTCTGGTTTTAATTCATAAATAAAATGTAATAAAAAAACATGTCATTGGAAATTTCAATAGTTGCTGCTTTAAGTTTTTTTTAAATTCTTTATAACTTTCTTGTGATAACTTTGAAACGTACATCTTAAAAAGACAGACATTGACAGGAGAGGATACAAATAAAATGCAAATATTTTTGATCTCAAGGTCATACGGCTGGTAGATATTCTCCATTAAATGCATGGTTCAGGACAATATGTGTATTTCAATGTTACCAGGTCCCTCTCTATATCCATTTATCTATAAGAACACATTGGCAAGTTTCACTTGGAAGTAATGCATTGCAAAAACACATTAACAACCAGGGAGGATGGACACCCCTGGTCCATTGTCTGCCCACTGGAAAAAGTCACACTGTTTACCCTTTTGAAAGCTGCAGGTGTAGAAATTCCGGCCATTGTTAGGTCCTAGTTTTAGAACCGTCCTCATTAAACAGCGTTTCCCGTGGTGACAAAAAGGGAATTGCAAGTCAGCCCACTGCGACACAGAAAATAAGGTTTTATTAACTTAGCTGTAAACTTTTATTCTTTTATAGTTGATACTAACAATGTTTGTGGATAGGCTAAAACCAAAGAAATATAACAAAAATAATAATTTAAAGTAATTAATTTTTCAGGCTACACAATGCTGTAGGTAAAAGATAATTTTTACCTCAAAAAAGTTACACTTGGTCTCTCTGGGAAGCGAGCAGGTGTAGAACTGCCGTCCCTTATTCTCCCCCTCCTTGCGGACCACTCTGAGGACTGCTGGACGACGATGGGATGCACAACATGGGGCACTGGGACTGGAAGAAATGGAGGAGCTGCGGCTTGTCGCATCTATTTTGCGTGTACTGACAGAGGTGAAGAAACAGTCTTATTAGTTTGAAATAAATTGAAAATAAAAACACAAGTACACCTGTCACATCAACCCTTATTAGTGAGCAAACAACCTCCCCTCAACCGTGTGGTGATGGGTTGGTAACAGTGGTATTTGCATGGTATATTCCTACGGCTATTCATCAATCTGAGCTTTTTTAACAATGTTGCATTAAAAATTCCACAGTCAGATGCTTTTTTATCCCACTTATCTCCCTGAAGTTGCAAAAAACTTCTCTTATTATAAACTTATTCATGAATAGCCAAGCAAGAGAGTCACTCACTGTGAGTTGGGGGTTCCATTTTGAGCATTGTTACTGGGAAAGGGGCTGTGATCAATTCTCATTTTCTTGGATGGGTGACTGTAGGAGGCCAGTGATTCCCCATTGGAGAGCTCGGCACTTTGCCTCTGCCAGCCACCAGAGGCATAATTGGGGCTTGTTGTCCCTTGGCAGACGCTGTATTTATATAAACCTCGCTCTGCCGCCAAGGAATTCAAATGACTGTCGGCTGGGGAGAGTGGGGAGTTTACAGGCTTTGGCTTCTTGCTCAAGTCAGAGAAAACAAGGGTGGAAGTCCCGAATGCAGACCTCCAGTTGACTTTGAGCTCCTCTTGTGGCTTCTTGAAAGCAGTGCAGGGGTATTTAATCAAATCTGCAGTGAAGGGTGATGCTTCAGCGCTAATGTCGTCTTTGTGGACTGTGGAGATGGAGCCAGAGTGAGAAAACTCATTTCATGTTCAGCAGCTGCAGCTTATTCTGATGCACTGGCTGCTCTCATAAAATGCAGCTTGTTGTTGTTAGCTTTAAGTGGTTAGCTTGCCATAAAATTTACCAGTAAGCACCAGACTGCTGCACTGTGTAGTCACATAAAATGTCACACAATCTGTTGTGCTGAAGATGCCCTCATGCAAAATTCTGTGAAATGAGTCTCCGTATAATACAACTTTGAAAATAAGTAAATGTTTTTTCAGTAATGGTGAACTACAATGTCTGACATCAGCCATTAACTGCGAGCTGTGAACACATATTACTCTTCCATCCCTCAAAAGCTAACATTAATGTACAGCACCCTTAAGCAAGGCACTTAACCCCCAGCTGTTTTAGTGGATGAACTAGAAATGCAAATAATGATATTACTTAAAAAGTGTGCTTAGTCAAGTTTCCCTGGAGAAATAAATGTCCATTATTCATTTCCACAGATTTTAAAGGAATATTCAACAATCCAAAAAATGACTCACACTCGTGTCAGTTCAAACTGCAGGTGTACGTTTGTAAATCTAGTGGACTCATACTTAGTCTTTTTTTGCACGGTTGAAGACAACATCAGGTAGAAACAGAGCGTTGGATGTCAAAATGAAA